GTTCTTGTGAGTACATTTCTAGAGTACATCGTGTATGGTCTTGTTTCTAGAGTACATCGTATGCTCTTGTTTCAAGAGTACATGGTATATGGTCTTGTTCGATATTACATCGTATGCTCTTGTTTCAAGAGTTCATCGTATGTTCTTGTTTCTAGAGTACATCGTATGGTCTTGTTTCTAGAGTACATCGTATGCTCTTGTTTCAAGAGTAGGTACATGGTATATTTATGGTCTTGTTCGATATTACATCGTATGCTCTTGTTTCAAGAGTTCATCGTATGCTCTTGTTTCAAGAGTTCATCGTGTGGTCTTGTTTCTATGGTACATCATATGCTCTTGTTTCTAGAGTACATCGTATGTTCTTGTTTCTAGAGTACATCGTATGGTTTCTTCTCGTAGTGTACATCGTCTTGTTTCTAGAGTACATCGTATGGTCTTGTTTCTAGAGTACATCGTATGCTCTTGTTTCAAGAGTACATGGTATATGGTCTTGTTCGATATTACATCGTATGCTCTTGTTTCAAGAGTTCATCGTATGCTCTTGTTTCAAGAGTTCATCGTGTGGTCTTGTTTCTATGGTACATCATATGCTCTTGTTTCTAGAGTACATCGTATGCTCTTGTCACTAGAATACATCGTATGTTCTTGTTTCTAGAGTACATCGTGTGGTCTTGTTTCTAGTGTACATCGTATGCTCTTGTTTCTAGAGTACATCATATGCTCTTGTTTCAAGAGTACATGGTATATGGTCTTGTTCGATATTACATCGTATGCTCTTGTTTCAAGAGTTCATCGTATGCTCTTGTTTCAAGAGTTCATCTAGTGGTCTTGTTTTTATGGTACATCATATGCTCTTGTTTCTAGAGTACATCGTATGCTCTTGTCACTAGAATACATCGTATGTTCTTGTTTCTAGAGTACATCGTATGTTCTTGTTTCTAGAGTACATCGTATGGTCTTGTTTCTAGAGTACATCGTATGCTCTTGTTTCAAGAGTACATGGTATATGGTCTTGTTCGATATTACATCGTATGCTCTTGTTTCAAGAGTTCATCGTATGCTCTTGTTTCAAGAGTTCATCGTATGCTCTTGTTTCAAGAGTTCATCGTGTGGTCTTGTTTCTATGGTACATCATATGCTCTTGTTTCTAGAGTACATCGTATGTTCTTGTTTCTAGAGTACATCGTATGTTCTTGTTTCTAGAGTACATCGTATGGTCTTGTTTCTAGAGTACATCGTATGCTCTTGTTTCAAGAGTACATGGTATATGGTCTTGTTCGATATTACATATGCTCTTGTTTCAAGAGTTCATCGTATGCTCTTGTTTCAAGAGTTCATCGTGTGGTCTTGTTTCTATGGTACATCATATGCTCTTGTTTCTAGAGTACATCGTATGCTCTTGTCACTAGAATACATCGTATGTTCTTGTTTCTAGAGTACATCGTGTGGTCTTGTTTCTAGAGTACATCGTATGCTCGTGTTTCTAGTGTACATGGTATATGGTCGTGTTCGATAATACATCGTATGCTCTTGTTTCGAGAGATCATCGTATGGTCTTGTTTCTAGAGTACATCATATGCTCTTGTTTCGAGAGTACATCGTATGGTCTTGTTCCAGAAGACATCGTATGCTTTTGTTTCCAGAGTACATCCAATGCTCTTGTTTCCAGGATACATCGTATGCTCTTGTTTCTAGAGTACATCGTATGCTCTTGTTTCTAGTGTGTACATCGTATGGTTTTGTTTCTAGAATCAATCGTATGCTCTTGTTTTAAGAGTATATGGTATATGGTCGTGTTCGATAATACGTCCGGTGCTCTTGTTTCAAGAGATCATCGTATGGTCTTGTTTCTAGAATACAGCGTATGCTCTTGATTCTAGAGTACATCGTATGCTCTTGTTTCCAGAGTACATTGTATGCTCTTGTTTCCAGAGTACATCGTATGCTCTTGTTTCCAGAGTACATTATATGCTCTTGTTTCCAGAGTACATCGTATGCTCTTGTTTCCAGAATACATGACATTTTAAATTAATGTTTCCATTGTCTTTCATCATTATGCTCATGTTTTCATTGTTCGTGTTATAATTATATTTCCATGTTCATTATAATTATGGTCATATTTTAGTGTACCTCAAGTGCTATCCAGTGGATGTCATATACGTAAATATTGAGTGTACATTATGTGTTCATATACCCCAAGCTGATCTGCTACTGTGTTGCATAAAATACATTTAAATGCTGAGCAAATACGTTCTTTCTAAAGCATGCACATGGATACAAACGTTTAAAATTATTTGCATGTTCATTTATAGCATTAACTCATGAAATAGCAAAGAAAATGTATGTGTATATGTGATTTCTATATGTATTGTTTTTTTTTTTTTTTTTGATATCTTCAAAACAAATCCTCTATACAGGTCTCCTTATAAATTCTGTCTTTAGTTTTGAACGCAAGTTTTCCTTGTGACACCATTAACCCATGCGACCAGTGCAGACCAAGATCCTGACCGTCTTATCATGGTCTGCACTGGTCTATATTCAGTCCGTATTACATACAGGTATGCCCAAGATGCATACAAGTTCATTTATGATATTTAACGTGTTAAAAGGATTAGTATAGCGTTCGTCACGTGTCGTATGGTCTATCATTTAATACTTCTTAACGTTACAAAGTGTTATTTGTAACATTATTTTTGGGGGAAGAAAAAAAACAACTTGTTACTTGTTTGATTTACCGCCAGACATTTGCCACCTCGACATGAAAATTTTCGTGAAATGAACTTGTTAACAAGATTGAATTAACATTACACCTTTATACTTAATGTAAAAAGAAACCCATTGGAACCAAGTAACGTAAATATTTGTATAAATTATTCATGATAGAATGCTTGTTTGATAGTATTAAATATATGAGGTGGAATCAAACTTTGTAATTAAAGTGAGTTTTGAAGTTACGATTTAATATTTAATGTAATGATTATAGCGTTGTCATCACCATGCCGTACTAGGCGTTATCATAAAAACACCACTATCATCATCATCATCATCATCATCATTGTAATCATCATCATCATCTTCTTCATCATCATCATCGTCATCACCATTACCACCAACATCACCACCATCGCCATTATTATCATCATCATCATTTTCAACATTATTGACGTACGTCATCTTCGTCGTCATAATCACTATCGTCATTATCATAATCAAATGCTTTGTCACCTTTACTACTCCTTTAGCGCTTGTTGTAAATGGTAAAGTACCAGGCCAGGTCAGCTCAATATAAGTGATATATTACTAGGGGTAAATTATGGGCGTGATACCACAGTAACTTGACTAAAGCTGGTCATTATGTAAACACTGCCGCCTACATATAGCAACTGAAAAAAAACTGTTATAGATTGTGCTATTTACATAGAATCAAGTACGAATGCTTACATATCATCATCAGCAGCATCTCCTACTTTTTGATCTTTATCTTTTTCTTCCTTTTAATCATCAAAATCGTCATGCATGATCATCGTTATTATTCTATATATTATCATTACCATCAACAACAATATTTTTATTATTATTTTCAAAATAATCATCATCATCGTTGTCTTCACAGCTATCATTGGTGTTGTCGTCATTATATCATCATCGCCATTATCATCAACATCGTTGTCAACGTCATTACAACCATTATTATAATCATCACTATCATTGTCACGATCATCGTCATCATTCCCATCGTTGACATCATCATGCTTAATCTACATTATCAACATCATCATTATCATCAGTAGCGTTATGAGCATTGTAGTCGTCAGTTTGTTTGTTGTTGTTTTGTTTTTTCAACGAGTTAATTATAGCCACCACGACTGAAGTTGTATATATTTACAAGTCACCAGAAAAATGTCATGATTATCACTTTATTATTCATTTTATGTCTTCGGTTATCTTTGATTTTTCACAAAATGTTTGATACATCAAACAATATTACTAACCAATCATCAATAATGATGTGTTTTCATATTTCATGAGCAATTTAAGCGTTTAGATTTCTTTGAAGACAGCGACAGTTTAGTTTCCCTGTGACGCGACGTCAGATCATGGGGCAAACTGCACTTTTTGCTGTAGTACAATATCTTGAAGTGTTGTTTTTCCAGGAACTTTTTTATAAAATAATAAAAATTATATATCAAAATAAAGGAAAATTTTCACCTGACAAAATTTTTATCATTATGATTCGCCGTTCATTGATGCAGAATTTTGTCATAGCAAAATACAACATCAAACGATACCAAAATCGCATGTAGAGATGTAACGAAAATGTCTGAGTAACAGAAGATTTTACTTACAAATTTGCCAGAAACTGGCGCCAAAACGTTTTAAAATTCATACTGACGTTGACGTATTCATTTACGCAGATGATGTCATTTGAATTAACGTTAACGTTTGAAAAGTGCGGAGAAAAATGAAGATTTCGTGAATGAGAAATTTGTGTAGAGATACAAGAATTGTGTTTAAAGAATGACGGGTAAGAAATTTTAAAAGAATGTTTACCTAATATTTAACTTAATTTTGAGATCATTTTTAGATTTTCAAAAATGCGTTTTCAAATTGTTTCTTTTCCTGTTTTTGTTAGAAAATAATATATATAGTTTGTAAATTATGGGCAAATATTTATGTCTAGCGGAAATGGCCAAAATTGGAAATAATGCGTTTTATCGCGTCATTCACCTTAACATTTATCGAATAAAATAGTTTTAGCAATGAAACATTTTATTTCAAATTTATTCTAAATAATAGCGTTTTTCTGCTGTGTATGCTGACCAAATTTCATTTTGGTATCATTATTTACCTGCTATAAGTGATAATATTTCTAAGTCTAGCGAAAATGTCCCAAACGCTATTTTTGACATAAAGTAACGTCATTGTGCGTTTGGTTTCAAAAATTATTTAAATATCAAATTAAGTTACATTTGTATTCATAAGATATCAAATAACACGTCTATATAAACCCATTCCCGGTATTAGGTCAACCCATCAAGTCATAACACATGCAAACACTAAACACAGCAAATTACAAATCAGATGTCTATCCTGCTACGAGTGTATGAATTGTATCATGGGAAAAATAAGCCGGTGTAAAAACATGCACATTACTGGACAGACTACTTTTCTTCAGCCTGAAGCAGACGGCACTTTAAATGGTAATACGTCGCTTGTAGCTGAAGAACCGTCTACGGTGGAACTTATTCAGGAGGGAATGATCTTTGCTGCACTGTGCGATGACGAAGACTATGATTATTACCTCGTGAGAGCAGATACATCTGCTTTTGTGCTCGGAAAACGTACCACTGATGAATGGGGAACAACATGGCCACAAGGAACGCCTGTAATACGAGGGCATTACTATATAAAGTCTGGAAATAATCCCCTGCTCAATACCTTGCTATGCAAAAACTATGCATTAATTCCAGCAGTTTCAGTTTTGTACATAATTGAAGGGGGGAAGAATAAAAATAAACTAAAATTGAATGAAAATGACCATCTTTCAATTTTGAAAGTTTTGGAGGAACGGGATGCTACAATATAAACAATGTAAATGCATATAAATCCACTCTTAATGTTTTATACGAAGCTAAAATTGTTGTTGTTGTGGCTTGTATTTAATATGATGTTATATAAATACATTTATTATATACTTATAAATGAAATATTGAGAAATATTGATGACAAAAAATGCGTATTTTTATTTTCCGTATTTTCACTGTAAAAATTTATTTTTCACTGCAGTGAAACATATTTTCCGTATTTTCACTGGTGTCTTGCCGGACTACTTTCTTTTAAATTCTGCCAGTACACAAAATTTAAGGGAAAGTCTTTCAAATTATATCGCAAAAAAGAGCAAAATATATATAATAAACAGAAAATTCAAGTTGTTTCTATAAATACATGATTTATTTTCATCTTGTGGCATGAAAATTACCATATTTCACTCGTGGCTACCGCCACTCATGAAATATTTATTTTCATACCACTCAATGAAAATAAATCATGTATTTATAGAAAAAACTTGAATATCCTCTATATACTTAGAGCATAAAGCATAACGTGTTGTTTTGAACAGTGTTTACAATGACGTTTGAAATTAAGGATTTTGACGTTACGCTAATTAGCTACAATATCTGACGTCGCGTCTCTGTTATTGTCACAAATAAAATAATCTGTGCATTTTAGAGTTTTAAAAGATGTGTTTCAAACTTACGATATATCACTCCTTTTGATATTTTTTATTTTACAACCTTAATAAAACCTAGCCTATATTAAAATACATCAGGTATCTTACGGAAGGTCAACATGGTTCTCTACCTAGGTGCGCCTTTCGAATTTAAAAATATTTGCACAAAGGGCCAGCCAGTAAACTTTTGACCTTGGGCAGTGTCGATGTGACTGAAAACCTAACAAAATAATGATAATAATACTAATAAAAAATACATGTTCTTCAATATGAAGTGGTTATTTTGTTTACGTTTATTTTTTATATGAACTCCATCAAAATTAATTAAAACTGGAAACTTTATTCATAATTAATAATTAATATAGATTAAAATGTACTTTTTACTTTCGTTGAAATATTCATTAACCACGTAGAAAAGCAGATTACCGTAAACTCGCGAGGGGTATGACAGAAAATAAAAATAGAATATACAGCATTTCTTACTTTGACAAGTGAGAATTAAAATTGACGACTATTCACAAAAAACAATGTTACTAACCTCGGCGATCCGAAGTTTGACGAAAAGGGACGAGAAGGTGCGATTAGAACAAATATAGCTTTCTTGATCAAAATATTAAAATAAATAAATAAATTAATAGTGTTCCTAGCCAGACCAAAATATGATAGAATTTAACATTGCCAGTGGGATTCGAACCTGTAGAAGACTCTTCATTGTATGTCCTAATTTACTAGTACTAGGTCATGTGGTTTGGTATAGCGGTAAACATCTGAGAAACATATTGTTTATGTATGCATTATCATACATTATCGCAATCTGCTGCGTATTATTATATGACACACATATATTCTTACTGTTAAATGATACATACACATACACACAATAACAATAATAGTAATATTCTACGCTTCTCATAAAAAGCAACATTCAATATGTGCACATGTTCAATTAAACCGAGCGACAATACGTGAACTGTTTACATTTAATTCACGTGACTTTAATTGTCGCTACCCTTTCAAAATTAGCATATCCCATTTATTTCAGGTCAGTACAGTGACCTTTATCTACGTATACAATATGATATGTATACTTACTTACATAAAAGTTTATGTAAGTAAAGAAATACCCCAGTTTGTGATTAAATATTTCGAACCGTTTCTCTCTAAAAGGGGTAGCAACGTTTTAAAGTTCCACCTTGTTTTGTGTTTCAGTTGCCAACTTGCCAGATTGATGACCGAATTTTATAAACTAGTCCGGTTTATTCTAGATTTAAGTTATTTTATGCTTTTCAGTGGATTACTGATTTATCCGTGAAAATTATATTTGATCATTTCACAGTGACGTTAATTGGCATTTCCAGTGTCATCTTTATCAAGATCCCAAGGATCGGACCTGCTATGGTTGTGTTATAAACCCAACATTACAATATTGTATCACTTTTGCCGCTTGTTTTTCATCTTTATAGACACATGTTTTGTTGTTGTTGTGTTTGTTGTTGTTGCTGTTGTTGTTGTTGTTGTTGTTTTAAGGAAGGTTTAAGCGAATAACAAGGGTATATTGCTTATTGTTTTACATAAAAAACTAATCGTGGAAATTATACGTGTCAAAACCTTCAGTTAAAAATGATTTATTATAAGAAAATCCTGGGGGGAAAAGATAAATTTATTGGCAGAAGGTGTTTGTTAAATATCCAGGTAAAGCGAGATAAAACAAACAAAAAACATGTTATATGTGACTGGGTCGCTTTAATTGTACGTGAAGTTGGTGCGTAATTTTTGTAGTGAAGTATAGGTCACAAGTAGTGTTTATATGTTTGATAAAAACACTACCATGTTAAACTGTGTCAATAGTTTGATTATTGTTTATGTTGAAATAGTAATAGGACATTAATGTCTGATTCTTCAGGAATGATATCCCCTACCAAGGAGCATAAGGGGCCGGGCTTCGGCAGTAAACAGCTCCATAAGATACAGAATATGCTACATCACCGCCCACGGGCCGGGTCCCTTGGGAAAAAGGAAAAACTCGAACAAATACAAGGTAGGCTTGTTTCTTTTTTGGAATAGTTTCAGTTTATTTGTTGGTTTTTTTAATAAATAAAAAATGTACGGTATTATAAATTGTTTTGTGATTTAAATGTATGATACTCGACAGAAGAAGTGTAAATAGTGATGCTTGTACCCTTAACCTCCTGAAACTGAAAGTGGCTAGCCTTCCGTGCAGTCTGACCAGGCTCTATAACTGTTGGCAGCCCAATTTTTGTACATGTATTTTGATAAGATCAGTTTAAGTTTGAATGGTTTGTGAAAGATTACGCTGTAACTTAAGAATAATTTCTAAATAAATTCTGAAAGGGTGGAGTATGCAAATAGAAAACATCTTGGGCAGCTCCTACAAAATTTCAACATGTATACAATGTACATGTAGATTTGACCTCAGCTATGTCGGGTGTCTTTAGAACACGTCACGTACATCAATAAAACATGATGTATATAACTGCTTTTGAAGCAGTTATTTCCAGTATCATGGTGTAAAGGATACTAGCAAGTTAATATGTTCATCTTTCCCCACAGTTATAATTATATTGTCCAGCAAGTACAGTTTTTCTTTAGTATACAGGAGAGAATTAGACTGATAGTGTGTTTTATAGCGCTATGTTCTATCATACATGTATATTTGAAACATGAAAAAAAAAATCTTATCAATAACGCAAATGCATTAAAAATCGATTTTCCAATTAATTTATTTATAAAAAAAGGCCATACCTTCTTATTTTTAGTTTTATGAATACAACGGATAGTTGCGTTATCTTATCGTCTGTCCAAGATTGTCAAATTTTATCCCGGTGACAGCTTTCAAGATGGTACTATCTTAAGTTGAGTAAATCATATATATTTAATGTGTGATAAGCCTATATGTCTGATATGATTGCTTAGTTAAGGCCAAAATATAGTTCTGTTTCAAGTGTCCCTACTTACGTATACTAGTACCCCTTTTCACTTGCCAAACCTACACTTTTTATTTGCTGTTTTCGACTTATTTTCTTTACACTATACATGTATTTATGGAAAAAATCCTAACTACATTTTCATTTATTTATTTATTTTTTTTTTTTTTTGGTCCGTGACCAAAAACAACTTTTTAGGGGGCCTTGCTACATGTTGTTTACATCGCCCTGTCAAGCTATCGTGCGAGCTATGTATATATCTGTGATCAAATACTGCGTTTAACTCTGAAGGCAAATAGTGTAGATGACAATAACTGATAAATAATGTTTATTGACATCTTAAAACGTCCATCTTCACCATATTTTCGAGTGTGTTCCTACAACTTTTTCTGACAGTAAACATTAGTCACATTAGGTTTGGCCTTAGTCAACTACGTTTTTATGGTTCCCTTTATATCATCTATATCGATTTTACCTTATATCTATAAATGTACTATTATTGATAGATATAAATCAAACGTTCCTTTTTTTAAAGATCTTTCTTTTGAAGAACAATCATGTATTTTACTTCTTCGATTTTGTGTCAACCGCTTGCATATTTAAAGATTGATCAATAAATAAAAACCTAGTTGAGTTCAAAAATCATGAATAGCTGTCAAATTATTGGCCAGAGGTGAAGGGTATACACAACAAATGCATGCATTCTTAATATACGCGTCCTCGAAAAACTTTTTTTTTACAATAATAGATCTAAAAAAGGTAGAAGATTAATATACTAGTATTTCAACCCAAAACAATTGGGGCAATTTGACCTCACCGAAACCAAAAACACGATAACAATGTACATTTCTATTTTCGTACATAGGACACGCGGCGTTTATGTAGAATTTGTGGCGTTTCTGTAGGACTTGTGGCGTTTCTGTAGGACTCGCGGCGTTTATGTAGAACTTGCGGCGTTTCTATAGGGCTCGCGGCTTTTATGTATAACTCGCAGCGTTAAGGAATGGGTAGGGCTCGCGGCTTTTATGTATAACTCGCAGCGTTAAGGTATGGGTAGGGCTTGCGGCGTTTATGTATAACTCGCAGCGTTAAGGTATGGGTAGGGCTTGCGGCGTTTATGTATAACTCGCAGCGTTAAGGTATGGGTAGGGCTTGCGGCGTTTATGTATAACTCGCAGCGTTAAGGTATGGGTAGGGCTTGCGGCGTTTATGTATAACTCGCAGCGTTAAGGTATGGGTAGGGCTTGCGGCGTTTATGTATAACTCGCAGCGTTAAGGTATGGGTAGGGCTTGCGGCGTTTATGTACAACTCGCAGCGTTAAGGTATGGGTAGGGCTTGCGGCGTTATGTATAACTCGCGGCGTTTCTGTAGGACTCGCGGCGGTTATGTAGAATGTGTGGCGTTTCTGTCGAACTCGCGACTTTTATGTAAAACTTGCGGCATTTAATGTAGAAATCGCTGCGTTTATGTAGGATTCGCGGCGTTTAGGTATCACTCGCAGCGT